CACACACACACACACACACACACACACACACACACACACACACACGTACGGGAGAACACTTACGGCCTTGCGTTCATACTTTGCATACATGCTGAGGAAAATGCACGAGCGTTTAGCAAAAAGGAGTGACACATGCAGTTACGAGGTTGACATTAAAGTCCAGGAAAACAAAACATTACAATAGTTTAAACGCCCATATGTATATTTTCACAAATATTGAGTTCAAAGACCTGCTAATCTTTACTTCACTTTTGCTAACACTCAAACATTAACACACACACTCAAAAGCTACAAAAGGAGCTCTAGATCCACACTTTTTGTCTAAAGATTTACTGGAAATGTTCAATCAGATGCTTTTTTTCATGTTTATAATTAAGAGGCAGCATTCCTTTACTTGACTTTTCAACTCTTTGTACCTCAATAATCCAAACAGTGTCCTAAAACTTTCCTTCCTTTTATATATTTTCCAGATTTCTTCTAATTAGGTGGATTATGACCCACTGCAACATTTTCTATTAAATTGTGCGAAGTAGCATAGTGATAATGACTGATACTAGGAAGTAAATGATGAGCTCCAGCTTCTAACAAGCTTAATGCATCTTAATGCATACTTATCATTGCAGTCAGCTCGTAGACCGAAGCAAAGCTGAGGACGTCAGCTGTATCGTGCTGATTTTAATACCTCTGCTGAATAATTTTCATGAAATGATGCAGGAGTCACCTGTTCCCTGCTGTTGTGGGTGCTTGCTGTTGGGAATTGGCTGGCAGTCATTTTGCCTTTGAAATTTGCCTTGTATTTTCGAAATTAGACCACATTCACCCACAACCATGCATATATTTGGAAAACACATTCAAAATAGCAGTACAATCCCGCAGAATGGTGAGAAAACCATAATGTTGTAATCCTGGGATTAACCCCAAGTCTTATCAAAATCACTTTTCACATTTCGTATGATACATCTTATGCAGAAAAAATGCACGCTAAAACTGGTTTAGATGTTAATGTTGTTGTTTTGCTTTTACATATGAGGTGCAAGGCCTTTGATGCCCTTTTTCATTTTACATCCAATCTCAAAGCAGCTTTGATGGATTTTTGTCAGAGGTGTCTTCTCTGAAAGATCATATTTTGTGTTGTGACTCAGCACATTCGTACAGATATTTTCACTGAGAAGGCTGGATATTACCACACCTTTTGTGTTGTTTTCTAATAGTAGCTAGTCAAGTAGGCATGCCAGGAATGTTTAGTTGAAAGTTATTTGTTCCAGACTGTCTAAAAACTGTACTTAACATTTTTATCTCTGCGATTTTTTAAGGCCTTGTGATAATGACTTAAAATACTATAAAACTTTTTTTTTTTGTCTCAAACTTCTGCTGCTCCACTGTAGTCAAAGCCTGGTGTGTAACAAGTAGGTTCAAAAAATGGATAAGTTTTTGCAGCTCGACTAACAGTTTTTGTCATTTTAAATTTTAAGCTGAAATTTAGACGCTTCGTACATTTGTTTGGATGTTCCGAAGCTCCCACTGTTGTCATGTCAAAGCTGCAAAGCCATGGGGTCTGCAAGAACGTCAAATCCTAACATTAAATGCATTAAATGTTGCCATGAATAAAACTCACATAGACTGTGACATATCGATTTAATAATTAAAAAAAATTTTTTTGCTTGTTTTTACAACTTGACACTGGCCTATCGGTGACAGTGACTCCTCAAAAATTGACTTTTTTTTTTAAAAGAATAAGAATCCACAACACAAAATGGAAACATGTTTTTGTGTGTTTGTGTTGCTTCTTATCATCCATCGAGCCTTTCAGCCGTCTATCTTCTGCTCCCATTTCTTCTGCTCCCAGGCTGTAATTGTTTTGATTGCTAGCTTTGCAGAAACAATATTTAACTTATTTTCTATTTACCTTATGTAACTTAAGATAGGGGTACACGCAATTCCTAATCTTTTAGGAATCAAAAAGAGTTTAGAGAAAATACATTATGCTTGGTAAATTATACTGCAGATCTCCGCAGTGTTAATTCCTGTTATCTGTTTAGTTTTTAGACTTCAGTTCTCTTTATTTATCATAAGTATAGAAGAACTGCATCAGGGCTTTTCTGGCTGCTGGTATACCACAGCAAAGCTAAAGAAACGTACTAGACGGCAGTAGTTTTAGTGGATTTTTCCTTTATTTCATAAAATCCATACAGGTTTAGCTGTGAATCATGTTGCATGAATAATCCATGAACACGTGGATCAAGCACCAGAGATAACAAAATAATCATATGCTAATTGCTAATTATATGGTTAAAAAAAGATGTTTACCTCTCAATCTCTTAATGAACCTCGCTGCTGTGAGTGACTTGTGTTTCCTTCTATAATTTGCAAACTACTGCAGAAGGCAGAAAAATGAAGGGTTTGCACATGCAGTTATAGACATAAACAAGTTGATCCAGTTCTATAAGTAATTAAAAAAAAAACAATTGTTGAATGTCATAAAAAGGTAAAAACTGACATTTTTCAGATACGGTCTACAAAGACTGATGTGTTTTATGATTTATTGCGCCATAAATCAGTTGCTGTCCCTTGATACCCAAACCTATCAAAAAGCCATCAATAAACTATGAGCAGTTTGATACAACACCACATGCTGCCATAAGCACTTAACAGTGTTGGAGTGTCTGGTAATCCACATCTGCTTTGTAGACTCCATCTAACACATTATTTAATGGATTTAAAAAAGCAAATTTGGACTTGATGGCTAAGAAAGTTGGGGAAATTGCTGTCGCACTAAAATTAACTTCATTTTTTATGGAATTTTGTAAACAAGTGCAGCCCTGTGATGGACTTGCGACCTGTCCAGGGTGTACCCCGCCCCTCGCACTGTGACTGCTGGATATGGGCACCAGTGACCCACGCAACCCTGAAAAGGAAGAAGCGTGTACAGAAAATGGATGGATGGATGTAAACAAGTGCATAGAGGGATATGTGCAGCCAAAAATGTTAAAATCCATCGAAATACTCCATCTCGTTAACTGTGATGAGTGTTTTGCCGGAGCACCTGCTGTACGTTAAAGCCTCATTAAAATGTCAAGTGAAATTGAGTGAAAGCAGATCAGCGGAGATGACTGTTTGCGCTGGATTACATAAAAGATAGTGACGTGAATGTTTCATATTCTCTCTGTTGCATCCTGTATATTATCTAAGCTGATACATTTATGCTAGATAGGCTTTCTGATTCCCTGAACATATGTTTTGGCTACACTGAAACGTATCTGCTTGCTGAAAAGGTGTGCCGTACAAAAAAATGCAAGTGTAAAAAGCACATAATATCAAACAGATACAAATCAGCAACAATAAATTTCAAGTATCAAACTACAGACGAAGCACGTGAAGGGTTAATTTCTGAAGGTCTGATCTGTAATTTGAAAATTCAAAGCGATGCTTTTCAAGTAAAAAATGTTAGAATTGGAGTGACAACTTGTTGGAAGCAGTGAGTATGATGAAATTACTCCCTTTCCTTCTGACATCCTCTAGTTTTTTCTTTGTCGCTTTAATAAAATATCAAAGCATATTTTCTGAGACTTCCGTGTCATCTTGTTTGCAAAACATTTAATCTTAAGGTTTGTCGCCTTTGTTGAATTCTAAATATTTGCAGCTTTTAATTGACTCAATCTGATAAACGAGTCCTGTAATCATTACTGCATGTATTGATGACCAAACAGATTTGTATGTTGATGGACAGGAGTAATTAAAGTGCTCTGTCATGTGATAGATGGGCTCTAAAAACCAACGCAGACATTGACACAGACCAAGCAAACCCAGGACCATAAGCTCCTTATGTCCTCCGTGACATATGGCTGCTGTGCAATAAAGATATAAATTTCCACTGTAAGCTCGGGTTTGGAGCAGTCACAGTATGAAGCAATTCCCAGAATATGTTTTGACAAATCCTAAACACGCTTTATTCTTGTTGCCTCATTTCTTTAATCCAAGCCTTCAAAACCCAATTTTACTTTGAATAAAAGTTCTATGCATCCACTTGTCAATTACATTCAGTAAAGTCAGACCTCTTTTGGATTTTTATGTGCATGTAATTGTACTGCAGTGACTCATTCCTTGTCAGCGCGAATGCCTTCGCCAGAAAATGTGTCTGATCAGCAAGCAATTAGGAAGGGAAATTTATTTTGTGTTGTTTAAATGAATGGGTACTAAAGTGCACTTTATTAAGGAAGAAAAACAAAGCTTGTTTCTAAATGTATTGTATCGGTCCTAGTAATTACAACAGTAATTCAATGTACTGTTAGTCAATGCACACTGCTTGCGTTTGATGTGTTGTAGGCCTTTTCAGCGGTCAGCAACATCACCCACCTGGAAATGGACCTTCGACCAGAAGACGATGAGTCACCTTCCATGCAGGATGAAGGAGCCCAGCTTCAGGAGCTGCCCTTCACTCCTGTTCACGCTCCTGTTCTTACTGTGGGAATGAATGTGCCCAGGTGAGTAGCTCAGACTGTCTGTTGGGGTAAGAAAGACAGGAGGATTTAACGCTGTTCAAAACCTCCACAACATTTAAATTTGCTTCAACTTATAAAATTTGGGACATTTTATTTTATGTTTTCCCTGGGGAGCTTTTCTCTTCACGTTGTTGCTTTTTGGCAGCCGTTTTGTGCTTTATTTTTCCAACAGGATTTCCAGAAATCTTAATAAAATATTTTGTTCAAACTACAATAAAATTATAGTTCAAAGACAATCTTTTTTTAACCTTTTCTTTAGAGGTATTTTCTTTGCAGCTAATTTCAGGAGGCACTGCAAAAACTCGTTTCCACTCTTACCCTCTCTGCATGGGGCATGCATCTTTGAGATCATTGCATGGACTTAGATTACACCCTTGAGAGGAGCCCAGGTCTAATAGCACACACAGCAAGCTCAGACTAATTTTCAACAAACAGATAAACAAACAAACAAACAAACAAATAAATAAATAAATAAATAAATAAATAAATAAATAAATAAATAAATACTTGTAATTTTTATTCTCAAGGACTTAAATTTTCTTTCCTCAGAAGTTTGGGCATAGATAGTGGGTAATTACCATTATTTTAAACACAATCGAATCTCAAGTTATGGGCTAGCTTGTTAAAACACTGTACAGCAGATACAGGTACAGAAGAAATGTAACCACCATCCAGGGTCTTCCACTGTCATAAATCAACTCTATAAATCCATAGCTTCACTTTGAACATTCTACTGTTTCAAAGGACTGGATATTTATGTCAACGCCAATACAGTAAGTTACTTCCTTAAAGGGGATGTGTCATGCTTTTAACTTCTTATTTTTCATGTTTAAATCATTCAGTTGGTGTCTATATAAAATGAAACTGCAATGCTTTAGGTCTGTATTCCTCCTTATTGTAACTCCACAATCCCCATTTTCACCTGATGTGTTGCAGATCAACTTGTTTTGAGGTTGTCTCTTTTAATTCAAACGAGACACTTCTCACCCCGCCCCCCTCCAGCTCCCAGACCGGTCCGTTCTAGTTTGATAGAGGGGTTTATGACTATAGAAGCACAAAAACGTTATATTTACAAATTAATGAAAATATGTCAACAATGGTAGACTTGTCCATCCAGGCTTACATTAGAGCCAGAGTCTGACCCAGAACCAGAGGAAAACTAAGACTACCAAATAGGTTAGTTGGTAAGTCTATATCTTCTTTTAGAAGTTTCGTTGCAAATAGTGTGACGTAATAGTTCAGAAAACGTCAAAGAAAATAGAGAAGACTGAACAGGTTGAAAAATACACAAACAAAATATGGTAAATGGACTGTAGTTATGTAGCGCCTTTCTGTCTAACCAGGATACTCAAAGTGCTTTACACTTTCTTTTGCTTTTTCAAAGTAAAAGTTTAATTGATTATAACTTGTTAGTCAACAATTTGTTTTTCTTCTGGAAATTATCAGTTTAAAATTAAAAAAGAAGATCAACAATGTAACTACTTTAAATGTTTTGTGCCTCAATTATTGAACAACCAACTCAACTAGTTTTCCTTGAATAAATTTCCACCTTTCTTGTCAGAGTTTACCTATAAAAATCATTTTATTTTGATAAAGGAGTTATAACTTGATCAAACATACAAAGTAACGTTATGCACAATCTCATATGACATTTAAGATCTATTAGAGCTTGAATTAAATATTGTAGACAACTGTCAGCTACTTATACACTAGATTTTTGATCGATGTCTCTGAAATACACTGAGGTGTAGCTGGGGTTTGGTTTTCTAAACAGTTTGCTGTTGCAGCCGTCTTGATTTGAAGCAGCTCTAAAAGTAGCAGACGAACATTCAACAATTATGTTTTGAGTTTCACTGAATGCAGTGCAGATATTTTGCTAATGTTTAGTTTCTGAGGGTTTAAGCAAAGATGTTGCACAATGTGTTGCGAACAATGCTCAGTTGCAAGTTTTAGCTTTAACAGATGTAAAATTAATGTCACGATATTTGTGTTGAGGGCGATTAGTTGTGGCAACCTTTTTGAATCAGGTGGACCAAAAAAAGTTCATCAGTCATCAGAGCAATGACTATTTTGTGAAAGTGTCTGTGCTTCACAAGATTTCTGTTGATGATATAAACACACACGCCGACAAAAATGAGCAAAAACATTACAGCAAAGTGTGCTGAAATATTGCTTCAACCATAAATCTTATTTTCCTTTACTTTAAATGGATCAAAACTAATTTTATAACATGCTGTTATTCACCAGAAAAACCCCACAAAACCAATGACTTTCTCCATTAGTCTCATCAAATGTTATTAGCTTGTTACCCAGTCAAAACTGAGGGATGAATAGTGAACACACAGTTCTCTGCTCTGTGAGGAAGAAAGACCTCACAGAGCTGCTGGAATCACTGCTTAAAAACATCCTCACAATAATACGGCATTCAAGCTTTGAGAGAAATAAAATACTGTGGGCACGACTCCATTATCCTGCAGTGGAAATTGTACATTTCCTGGAAATATTATTATTCACTTACATCACTCTTATATATATATATATACATATATATATACAGTATACTGTATACATATATGAATATGTATATATTCATATTCTCCAGCTGTCTCATATGCTCCTGGCACAGTCGAGCAGATTGATCTTTGTGTCAGGTCACAACAGGTCCCCTTTTAAACGTCGGCTGCAGCATTAAAGAAAAACACATTTTGGTTTTAGCTGTAGACCAAACTGAAAAACATTTTAACATGTAATACCCCTTTCTATTATTTAGCTTTGAAATTCAGGAAGTAAAGATTCATTCGCCACCGTTTATGCTATAATTTGAAATTAAGTGGATCTTATATTATACAATGACAGCATCTTTCTGCCTTCAAACAATAGTTTTTTTTAGGTATAAATGAATCCATTTTAGAGTCATCCTGACTGAAAATGTCTGCTACCTCAGCAAATACAAAAGTCTAAAAATCATTTTTTAAAAATATGGAGCTGAATGTGGAAGACGTTTGTGAGTCATCCAATCACCAAGCCACAAAGATAATGGGCCCTGGACATTGCTCAGGGGCCTTTTGTAAGTGATCTATATACAGTATATAGGGTGAGTCAAAAGTCCCAGGACACACTTTTATTTCAGAAAGAAAATGGAGAATGACATATCTGAATACCCCAGTGTAAGGAAAATATGTATTCAATAAACTGAAATTGATATTGAACCCATTATTGTTAAATAAAATGATTTGTAGAAGGAATCAAACCATACAACACCAGAATTCTGGAACTGAGTGAGGTTTAATGTCACCGGAGCTGACAGGAAACCACACTGGCGAAAAACCAGGAAGTTCATCAATTTATACATGGTTCTTCAATGCCTGCGTTCGCCCCCTACTGACCTACAGCTGAATCACAGGCATTCAGACAAAATTCTCACCTACTGTTCTCAAAACGTTTAATTATGTGTTGTTATATAATTCGGACATGTTACTGAACCTATTTCAATCAAAACATAATAGATTAAACATTGGCAACATTATAAAAAGGAAAACCTAAGAATATAGTGATGTGCTTTTAACATCAGTACTAACCTCTAATAACTATAAATTTCTTCACCAGTATGTAATGGATGGTGGGGGGTCTGTCTTTTAGGTTGTGTCTGAAATATGGCCTGGAATACCTTGAAAGCCATTCGATCAAGAGCAAATTTACCAAAGATAGGCCCCCCTCACCCGTTACATTCAGGGGTAGATATGTTATTTTATTTACCTAAAGTGCTTTACACTACAATCTGTGTCCTCATTTACCCATTCACACACATATTCATTCAGCACTCTACTAGGTCTTTACAAAGCTAGCATGCACAAATCAATCTGTGGAGATTAATCAGTGCTAATCACATTCATACACTGTTTGGACACAACAGAGGGGACAACAACTGAGACAGCTGGAACTGGGCATCGAACCAGCAGCCCACCAGTTTCAGGACGACTCCACTAACCTCTCTGCCACAGCTGCCCTTATATAAATCTAAAGATATCTATGCAGCACTGGACTAAAAAAGGGGATTTTGCATGATATGTCCTCTTTAAGAGTTTAAGGTGTTACTAGCTAGTGTAATGTTAATCGTCTCATTAATGGCAATATTGGAATACTTGGTAGTAGTAATAATATTATCAGAAAGCTTTAAAAAATCATCTCAGTGTCAATGTATCAAAGCTGTTTTATTAGACCTTTACATTCCACGTTGTAAGTCCTATTTGTGATACTGTGAAAAACCCACATTCTTAATGGAGCTGTCGAGAGATATCTTCTGACGTTGAGTTTGTGGGACATAATTTGATGAATTCAGCGCACAATTTATAAATACAGTGCCAGCGGAATTGCAGCCAGCTTTGTTAATTTGGTAGCCTGAAAGAGGAATAATACTTTGCAAAATAATGAGCACAGTAAATGAGAAACAAGAACTTGTATTGGTGTTGGGGGTTCTGTAAATAAGCATCTGGCACTGAAACAGTTCCCCAATCCCAGCGTTTGGATCCAGACATGATGTTGTTCAGTTCAGTGGGCTGAAACATCTTTGCCTCTTCACTCAGAGCCAAAACATCTTTTTGACTGTTTTCCGTGTGAAATGACCCACTTTTCTGCGAAGAACAATAAAGTTGAAAGAAGTTTAAGCCAAGTAGCTGTGCATATCTGATTGAGCCCCTTTTGAAACGGAAAAAAAAGACGTCTTGAACATTAATCCACAGAGGCTAAATTAAGATAAAACTTTAATCAATAATGAAGAAACAAAAAGCATGAAATTGGCAGAGCTGTGAAGAAAAACACATTTGACTCCCGTCTTCACTGCTGTCACCTTAATTAGTTTGATCAAGGCTTCATTCTTTAAGAAAGCCATCATTGGGGGCTAAACTGTTTACCAAATGGACTCGGGCAGTGTTAGCGCTCTGATAGCATTGTTGCTCATTTTTCTATGCCTGCACTTTAGCCAGCCATCTGTGCACTGTGTTTTCATAACCAGCGTTTGGTGTCAGTGTTGAAAGTATACGTTATGAATGTTACCATAGTTGTGCAAAAACAGGTGGCCACTATGATTAGAGATAACTGGCAATTATGCTTGAAAATCCTGAGGGAGCACTTTGGCATCCGTTCCGTCTCCCCCGTAACTATTATCGCAGTGATGCTGCTTGATGGATATTGCTGACATCCGTATGCTGTCTAATCATCATTTCATCACATTTATGATCCGTGCAGCCGGATATTGCTATTCAGGTTCAGTTAGGGAGGATAAAGTGATAAAGTTGACGTTATCTCACGAAAGATAAACATCTTGAATTAGTATGGAAGCGTTGCGTGATAAAAAATAAAACTCAAATGATAAACGAGTGCTGTATACCACTTAGATCAAGTAATTTTTCCTGTCTCATTTAAAACAAATCACCTTAATGACGCCAGTACAGCAGAGACTTAATGCATTACCTCCTGCTGTTTGTAAAGTGTTACACTTTTTTTTCCAGCTTAGTGAATGCTCGTCTTCTGAAAATTTGACCTTTCTTTTCCAATATAACCCCTCTCCAGTTCCTGTTCGGTCAGCTCCAGGAGCTCACTGGCTCACCTCTTCTCAGCTGGCTTTCCTGAAATTGTGGACTACAGCGGCCAGGTGGCAGAAGTCCTGGACCCCACAGAACCTCTGCCCTTTGATCCTCAGCGGGAAGAGACTGACCTTTTACAGGGAAACCTGCTGGTGTTTCAATTTTTGGCATTTACCAGGTGAGGCCAACAGTGCTTCTGTTACACTTCGGTACATTTTAGTGTATCTTTCCTGGCATGAATGTCTGCCAGTTCATCCCACTTACTCCTATCAAGAACATACACGCAAAAAGCACTCAGAAGTGCAAAATATATATTTCCTATCAAAAGGGCCTGAATACTTCCTTCGGTGTTGTATATAGCAGTCATCCTCTGACAGGATCTGCAAGAAGCCAGAGTCGATGAAGAATGGCTTCAAAGTCCTGCTACCAGCATTCTTTTGATTTGTCTTGTTCATCACGGATTTCTCAGCATGGAGCTGCAGACCTAATATTTTCTACTTTTTTTGCTGATTAGAAACATATGATGCATAACACTGCTCTCATTGCAGATTTTCTGATTTAATGAATTACATTTAACGCTTCTAATTGCCAGCAGATATTCTTTGCATTTCATAACTGAAAGCAGACCTCTGACAGATTGAAAATGAGAAAAAGCCTATAAACCCCAAATTGATTTTTTCTTCTTTTTTTTCAGAAGTGGAGCTAAATTTCATATTCCACAGGCTCTCTTGAGGTTGCAGACTCCAAAATGTCTGAGAAAAAAATGATTTAGACACCTGTATATCTTGTATCTCTGAAAAGTATTTTTTTGGGAAGAAGCCATAATACTTAGGTCAATATGACTCTGTCAGGATATATCTTTTTTTTTGTTCAAAACACGTTGTATATCTGCTATGAGATAACATTTTTGGAGTTTGAATGTAGAAAGAAGAAAAAGAGCAGGAATGATCAAGCACTAGAAAACATGTTTTCAGGCTGAAGCTATTGCCCCCGGCTTACTCTCTTAGTATTTTATTGTTTATTAGTATTTTTACTTTTAAAAGACATTACTGTTTTCTAAAGTGGCAATGTCAGCAAATATTTGTGTGAATTCTTAAAAAGCATAGATACTATTTAGATTTTTATTTCTTTATGATTTTTGGCACATATCTCTCTCTGCAGTTTTTGTGTTATTTGTATAATTTATATATCATAACCAAAAAGAAAAAATAAGTAGGTCCTCTGGATGGGTTCTTCTTTATTGTTAAGCAATGGCCCTCTTTTGCTTGTGACTGACCTGTTTGTCCACCATGTGGAGGCCGTGCTTTTAAGGCTGAGTTCACCTGAAACTCATCAGACTGAAGAAGTCTCTTGGACGAGAGACGAAACGTTTAACAAAAAAAGAACCCATCAAGAGGACCTACTTATTTATTCTTTTTAATTTTTTTCTACCTGGGTTACTGAGATGCATCAGGATATACTGCATATCAAAACATTCGGCTCCTTTAGAACATTCCTGCTATGAATTTTGGCACTTTATTTTTTTATACTTTTAGATATGTTGCTTTTTTGGCCATGTTTTTCTCAAACTGCATGTTTCTGTCTTCTACATCTTTAAAACTCTTCAATTTTTTTATAAATCTTTACTATAACTTTTATCTTTTGTTCTGATTTTACTTTTTACCTTTGTGCTATTTTCAGCTTCCTTTCGGCTTCTATTTTTCTGTCATTCTGACCTTTTCTGCTATTCTTCTGCTAATTGGAACTTTTTTGTTTATCTATCAGCATCTTTTTGCTATTTTAAGCTTTTTCATCTGTTTTCTTTGTTTTTAGCTATACTTTTTAGCTCATTAGAACTGTTTTTAACCTAATTTCACTATTTTTTTATTTCAGCTTCTTACTGTTTAATTCAGCAAATGTGCTCATTCTGATTCTTTGTGCTAATTGAAGCTATTTCAGCTATTTTTATTTAGCTATTTTAGGCTAGTTTTAGCTTTTTAGCTGTTCAGGAACATATACTTCAGCTTTCACACTGCATTTTCACAGGAAATGCAAATTATCCAGTCTCCTTAACTCTTGCTCATTTTAGCTTTGGTGTCTATATGAAGTGTGGGCATTCCAGCCCTGAAATAAATTTTAAAAAAACTTACAAAATGTGTAGCTTAACTCCATAAATAGCAGCACAGAGAAAAAAAAATCAAATACTGTCCATGAATAAGTAAAAGAAAATAAAATATTTTAGTTGTTCAATACACTGAAGTCATAAATGTCTCTGTTTGATGTAAGTTTTGAGGCAGACCATACTGCAAGTGTATTTATCCACACATTTCATAAAGAATTGCAGTTTAATCACATCTTCACTGCAGGCAAGATGGAGAGACCTTTTCTTGTAAAACTGTGAGTTTTAAGAGTTCACTGTCAAATGTTTTAAGCCCGTGGACAAGTTCAAACTCTTCCACATAATAAGCTATATACAGTGCAACAAAATAACTACTGTAATAACAAGAGATATGGATTTCTTTCTTAGATTTTATGTTGAGATGGATAGAGAACTTGTTTGATTTTCCTGCTTCTTTTCAAGTCAATCTGAAGAATCTGTAACCACACAGTTGAGGGTGGGGCGAGAGTGGTTTAGTTGCCTCTTAATTATGACAAACAGGTATGGCAGGCAGCAGTTTTTGCTGTGTCAACAGTATCAATGAGGAAAATTAGAAGCCTGCGGAAAGACAGTAATTTCTCTTTCTCTCAGGTGCTGTAATTATCAATCTGTTTAGAGGATGAATATTAATGCTGTATTCTCTTTGACAATGGAGCATCGCAGCTACTTTAACAGCACAACATCAAAGTGTGTGATTGTCTGCGAGATCACTCGCTGTTCCCATTAGATTCCACTTTGAAATATCCTGCTATGATAGTCTGTCCCTGGCCATGGGGGAGCTCTTAGCACATCCTGCCTGTCTTTTGTTTCCCTTTGAAAGTTCTTGTTGAATACTTCATCATTTAAAATCCAGTAAGTTTTGTATTCATCAGCCCGAAACAAAAACAAGTTCATCCTAAAGTGTTCCTATTTTCAAATTTTCTCTGGGTAAACAGAATTTGCAAGCTCACCGGGGCTCACTGAAGAGTCTTTTTTTTGTGCAAATGTTAAAACTGAAGTGTGGCGGTGAAAATTTGCAGGTGTGTGGAATCACACTCAGAGGCTGACATTTGTGTGAAAAACAATTCAACACATGGGTTTTCAAACCTCAGAGGCTTTTTTTTTCTTTTCTAAATATAATTACTAAAGAAAAATGGAAACCTGTGGGTGTTAACTAGGATAAAATCACATTCATACACTGATTTCTAGATTATCAGTGTATGAATATGATTATCATGCTGCCTTTTTAGACTAAACAAAGAGATCCACTTATTCTGAGTCATGGAAGTAGTGTTGAGTTTATCTACTCAATCATTGGCTTAGATACATCTGCTTATATCATTGATTTTCATTCCTGACTTTTCATCCACGTTAGGTTTTTAGTGTAAGTGTCTGTAAAGCTGAATTATCCACTCTTGTAAGATGTGCAAGGCATTTCATTTTTTTACCTTAACATGTATTTGAGATTGTTCATTAGCAGAAATGTGGTTTATTCTCCAATTCCTAAGGATTTTCTTACCCAGTTATTTCCAAACCTTCACTTCACTTTCATCATTGACCTCAGAATAATCCATCATTGGTAATATTTATAAATATTTGAAGTACTTAGTCAAAACACATTCATGTTTTTACGTTATTCCTATGTTACTTTTATTGGTACTATGAACTATCAGAATTCATAAAAGGAAATTTAAACTTTTTTTAATACTTTTTATTTCACAGAATACCAACAGCAGGTGTTGGTCCTGATTGGCCTGGAAACATCCATGTTACCTTCCAGTTTTATCGCTTCCCACCAGTTACATCACAGCAGCTCAAACTTTTGAGCAATGAGAAGGTTCAGCAGAAAGCCACTGAGATGCTTCCCTGTGTGCTGGCCTCCATCAGCAACGATGGATCTGTTCATTCTGGTAAGGTTTCAGAAGAATCTCACTCTAAATGTGTTTGTTTGAGCTAACTGTGACGTAGAATGAAGTGTATGGGATTATACGGGTTACATTTATAAGGATTTTTAATCAGGGAATGGGGCTTTGTGGATTCTGGGTTATTGTGTATGCAAGCCTACAAAGACATACCATCCTTTGTCATGAAATTAAGACATAATGTATCTCATGGAAGTGAGTAACATTGCATTTTGTTGAAGTGGCATTGCTCAGTTAATCTGTTAATCATATGATTAGGTATTTAAATTCTTCTTTAAAGCTGTGTGTCTAAGCAGATCCAAGGAAAATACTGCAGCTTGTGACAAATCTGGTTAAAAATCATAAGTGTGATACAGATTTTGTGTACAAGCCAAACGGTATATTTTTTCCATGCATTGCCATTATACAGTCACTTCTACAAAACTGGAGGTTTGTTCCATGATTTTCTATGATGCTGTATTATGCTTAGGCACTTCTCTTTCAATCTGCCAAGCGGGGGCTGATTGATGTCAAGTCTATTCATGTAGCAGCTAATGAAATGGAAGAGATATTACAGCTTCTGACAGAGCCCAATATTGAACACACAAATACCCCCTTCGCCACACCCCTCCATTCATACGCCTACACACGTGTCTCTGTTCTCCAGACGCACACTACAGTCTAACTCTGTCAATATTCCTGTCTGTGTCAGCGTATAGTCATATGTACTGTATAGACAAAAGCTAGACAACTGAAGCTTAACTTGCTGAATCATTGATAAAACTATAGGCTCTTTATGTACAAATATAAAACACCTTGAGGAAACATTTGGCATTTTAATCAACATTTTGCAGCACTGTTCATAACCAGTTTAGAAAATGATGTTATCCACTTTAATGCTCTAAATCAGGGGTTCTTAACCTTTTTGACCTCGGGGCCCAGTTTGTTGAACATAAAGTTGCACGAGGCCCAGTCAGACATTACCAATGTATGGATCAAAATGATAATTATTCTAAATCTTGGTTTAATTTCTATTGTATTTACATCATAACTAAACTATCACAACTAACATAACTAAATTAAATACAGTTACAGTTTAACAGTAAAACTCCTGTCAAATAATCACAAGACATGATTATGAGGCAAAAAATTTTATATTGTAACCTGCCCATAACAATTATTTGAACAAATACAAAGGTCAGTCAAAGACCACTCAGGCTTACCAGCTCAAATATGTATATATTTTTTAATATAAACTATAACAAAAATAGACATTTCAAAAAATAAAATTGTGGGCATAAAATAAATAAATTAAAATGTTTAATGTAAATGTTTCAAATAAAAAAACTGTAAAAATTAATTTGATAAAGTACAAATGAAAATATAGCATTTTTAAAGTTTTGCAACCAGAAGCTGCTCTTCATATTAGTGACAAAMAATAACAGTAACAACAGCTTTTTGACAAGTTTAAAATTTCTTTAAAATACATTCTACATTCAAAATGTTTAAAAATAAACTACAAAAATTAATTTAAAGTGCAAATTAAAATATAGTTGTAGATGCAACTGTATTTGATAATGTTTTGAACTTTTAAAATATAGTATGGTAAAAACAGAAGCTGCTCTTCATATTAGTGACAAACGTTGGTGTTTTTTGACAAGTTACTTTCATTTTTGCTTCTACTTTTCATTTTAAATAGGTTTCCATTCTTGGCAGATTTCTAAGTTTCTTCTTCTACTGTACATATTAAAAAGTTGTTAAACAACTGAGTGGCGCACTACTGCTACTAGTAGTGAGAACGTGTCTTGCACCTTATTCAAAATCAATATGGCCCAAAGTTAAAAACTGTTGTTCTTTTGAGGCTCTCAAGGTGGCACTCGCAGCCCAAGGGGTAAGAATCTCTATTATGAAACAAAAATGTGTGTCTGTCAACTAGAGTGAATGGAAGAGTAGCAACAAACAAAGAAAACTTTTAATTCATTAGCAATGAAGCTTTATAAAGCTATTTTGTTCATGGATTTTTGTCTGTTCAGCCATACTTGATGTGGTACTTTTAGAATGTTTATATAAATGGCCTAATTTAAGCTGCTGTACTTCAGTAGATCCATTGTCTAGATGTAATTTTGTTATTTCACACTTCATATTGTCAATCTAATTGAAATTCCTCTGTAAAAGCTACCAAAATCGAGTTTTTAATTTCTCATCCTCCACAGCTAGATGCTGTGTAGCCCCTCCCGCTTCCATGCCTCCTTGCTAAGATGATAAAAAGGTTTTGTTTTCAAAATGAATGAATTAAAAGATATAAGCAATCTCATTCTCTTCCACTTTCAATTATGAAGTGACCACAGACTTAGCAAATACAGACACCTACACACTAATATTTATAAAAATACACAATGTCTGCTGTTTATAAAACATTTCAAATGCATTTGATTAAAAATTCTTTGTTTTCAGAACAAACGACGAGAAGAACATTATACAACATTCTGGAGTGTAGGATGCTTTATGTTGTGAGTGTAAATGGCTGAATGTTATAATGTCACATTATGACATATTAAGTGTTCGCTATAGCATGCTGGCTTTTAGGTTTATTTTACTTGGAGGAAATAAATCTAAAGTAAATGTGGGAAAACAAAACAAACCATGAATGTAAAATATGTTGTGTACAGCTCAGCTTGTGTTCAGAGTTTAAGGCAACAGCCACTTTTGCTGTACTAACCCTTCAGTTTTAACCTGCTGGAACATCAAACTTTGTGTTTTTCCTTTTTATTTGCTGTGGTAAATTCAGAGTTCCGCAAAATCGGTCCAAGTTGCAAATATGTACCAACTAAAAAAAGGTATCTTTAATTGGCTTAGCTCAACGTCAATAAATATAAATGTGGTCTGAGTATTGTATGTATTTTTTGGCAGCCCAGTGAGAGAGTTGTGCAAAAAAAATTATTTGAGTACTTTTTATTAGTTAAATCATAAATCTTAAAAAAAAGTTAAATCATAAATCATCAGCGTTGATGCGTGTTGCGTGTTTAATAATTTTTGATTGCGTATGTTTAGAAATGTTTTGTCTTTACTACGACATTTTTCCTGTAGATAAAGAGCCATGTGAAAGTCTTCGCTTCCAATGGCATGTTTCCTTTTTTCTTGCCTTAGAACACGTAATTAAAATGGATTTTTTGCTGGTGAAACTTGATTTGTGGATTTGTGATTTGAAGTATTTTGCACCCATAATGTCAATACTTGGTAG